AGGAGGGGGGAGCCCCATGGGGGGGCAATGGAGGCGGGGGGAGCCCCGCGGGAAAGATGTGGTGGGGGCAATGGAGGGGGGAGACCCCCAGGGCACGAGCAGGCCCACTGATGGTGGCAGGGCCATAGGGAATGGGGGCACAAGGAGGAGGGAGGGGGTGCGATGGGGAGCCCCCCATTCCCCCTGTGGGCCCCAAAACCCCACAGTCACACATGCACAGCATGGCGGGCCTCAAGCGATGGCTCCTGGTGTGGCGGGCCGTGCCCGGGATACAGCGGGAAGCGCTGCGGGCTCCCCACCGGGGGAAGGGGTGTGGGGGGCCGTGTGTGCAGCTTCTCCCACAGCGGGGCGACCGAGCCGGGCCCCACCAGGCCCATGGCAGCGGCACAGCCCGGGGCTGCCCTGCCTAAAGATGGCGGCCGCGCCTGGCCCTGAGGGAAGATGGCCGCCGCGCGGCTCCCCTCACACTGCGCACGCGCGGCGGGGCGCTCGCTTGCGTCATCATCCTGCGCCGCCCGCGGCCCCAGCGGCGGGAGCGGAGGGGGTAAGGGGGCACGGGGGGGGGGCGGTGAGCCCGGTTCGGTTCCGGGCCTCGCTGGGTCTGCAGCTGTGCCGGGGGCGCTTATGGGTCCCCTGGGTGGAAAGGGGCTTCCTCCCCGGCCCGTGGGTGTCCTCCGGCCGCCGCCGGGGCTTGGTGACCCGGGAGGGATGGGGAGGCGCTGGGCGCAGGCCGCGGTTGGGCCCCAGCCCCGGGGAGGCGGCGCGATCGTGTCCCGGGCCTCGGGGACGTGGGGCCTCAGCGCAACGGGCGGCTTCGTGGTCTCCCACGGTGGGCGCGGGGTGGCTGCCCCGGCCCGTGGCGGTTCCGCTCGGGGAAGGGACGGGAGTGGGGCGCGGATCGGCCTCGGGTGCTTGGGATCCGCTTTCCGAGGGGCAGTTTGGGGTCACGGCCGTTCCCGCAGCCCCTCTCCCAGCCGGGAGAGCAGCCGCCCCTCCCGTGCGGACCGGCGTCCCGGCCTAGCGGCAGCTCCTGGCTGCCCGGGGCTGTAAATCCCCCCCGGTACCGGGGGAAGGACCTCCCCTCCGAGCTTTGCTCTCCGGTCCGGGCCTGGCCGTGGCCGCCGGCGGGACGGGAGCGCGGGGCTCTGAGCGCCGGTAGAGCCCGGCCCGCTCGGGTAAGCCCCGAACCAGAGCCTTCCCTCCCGCCGGCGGGGCGGGGCGGCCGCTGCGGGCACGGGAACCGAAACCGAAAGGGAGCCCGCAGCCATCTTGCCGGGGTGCTTTCCCGCTGGTGCCTGCCCTCCCCGGGAGACCTTCTGCGCGTCGGGGTGTCTTTTTTTTTTTTTTTTTCCATTTTTTTTCCAAAAAAAAAAAAAAAAAAAAAAAAAGAAGTGGGGGGAATCTGGCATATGGACAAGACCGAGGTAAGAGCATTTTTTTAAAAACCACTCTTCGTTCCTGCCGGGGTTTCTGCCCTGCATTTGGCTCGGGGGGCACTTTTAAAGCGAGTTCTCTGAGTAGGGGGACAAGTCTGTTCATCAGAGTTGGTAAAATAACTCACGGGTGCAGTTGGAGGCCGTTAATGAACCTGTTTAATGAAAGGGAAACGTAAGCTGGCCTTGAGGCCTGTTTGATGAAGACAGGGAGCTTTGTAAAGATACGACTTAGATCCAAAAAACTAACTAACTAACCAAACGTCTTTATGAAGCTGGGTGCCTTAAGGAGGTCACTGGGAGGAAGGCAGGACGGGGACCAGGCAGCAGGTATCATGGCATGTTTTCATTCACTCAGTTTCACAACCAGTTTTTCACCTAGAATATGGCTTCTCCTGGGTTACTTATTTTTAAAAAATCATTTTAAAAGCTTAGACTTAGGTCCTGTAGCTGAGGGGAGTAGTAAAACTGTCTGTGATATGCATGAAATTTGGGCTACAATCCCCAAAAACTTCATCCCATGGCCAGCTGCATGCCTGTCCGATGTCTCTGCATGTTACTGCTTTACTTCCCCGGTGGTGTGTGCCCTGCATTACCTCCACGGGTCACGTCACGGCCAGGAAGCAAAGGATATTTGGGGTTTCAGACTTTTTTTTGGCCATGAGTCAGAACTGTGGCAGCTCCATGCTGTGTGACCACGGGAGCTGCTTCACCTCCTCGGGCTGCTTCACCTCCTCATTCCCCCAGCTTTCCGATTCCAAAGCGAGTCTTCTCTCCCTCGGGGCAGAGGGATTTCACTGAATTTCACTGAATTTTTAGAGTTGGAAGGGACCATAGAGATCATCTAGTCCAACTCCCCTGCTAAAGCAGGACCACCTGCTTGTGTGGTTTGTGTTTGGGAAGCGCGGGGTGAGCCTCCGACAGACAGCAGCCTGAAAAGACAAACCGCCCCTGTGCATCTGCCTCGAGATTCAGTCCAACGGGAACAGAGGGTTGCTCTTATTAAAGCTGTTTCTTGTTAACTTTGTGATTCCCGACTCTCGGTTCCGTTCTGGGCAGACACAGAGTTTGCTATTTGCATTTACATGAATAATTCAGACTCGGAAAGCTCGACGAGGTGAAGATGCTCGAAATGCCTCAGTAGCAGGGAAAGCTGTTTAAACTGCATTTCTGGAATTCTATGGTTACATAAATAGGTTCTGAATTGTGGTTTGTGGTTTTTTTTTTTTCCCCCTAGCAGGGGCCTGCTCAGGTTGGGAGAGCGCGGAGTGAAGCGCAGGTCCCCTTCTGGCGCGCCGTCGGCCCGATTCACCCCGGTGTCCCAGCGCTGCGCTATGAGCAGAGGCACCGGCCGAGGCAGAGGCTCATTTCTTACCCGGTCAAAACGTAACTGCACCAACACTAATCGAGGTTTTTTTAACCGCCCTCATCCCCCCCGAGAAACTAATCAGCAAACCTTTTTACACCAGCAGTTCCTAACAGAGCAGGACACTGAAGTCTGTTTGCTTCAGGGACAGGGATCCCACGACGGGTCACACAGAGGGGTGCGAGCGGCGGTGCCGGCTCCTGCGGAGAGATGGCAACCCAGCGGCAGCAGAGCAGGGTGGCGTAGGTTCTCCGGCAAGTGTCCCTGGGTAGGAACTTCACCACATTATTGTCCTCCCCGGTACCATCGTCAGGAGGATTTGGAGAGGGATTCTAATGCCATCAGGCTGGATTTCCAGAGACTGTCTCTTGCTGGACAAAATTGTGAACAAGAAATTCTGACTATTTTCAGGCAGCTGGGGGAGGGGAAGGCTTGTACAGTTCATGATCTTGTACGTCAACTTAAAACTCAAAAGAAAGAGGTCAACCGGGTTTTGTATAAACTCCTCAAAGAAGGCAAGTTGCACAAAGGTGAGGAGACGCCGCCGCTGTGGAGGATTGCCAGCCCAAGCGCCGGGAGAGAAAGAAGCCCCACTGGCCCCAGCCGTGGTTGCACAGCTCCAGCTGGTGAGAGCAGAGGAGGAGAGAGGAGCACGGGTGGCTCCAGAGACGCCGATCCCGTGATGGCTGAGACAAAGGACAAAATCTGCAATTACTTGTTCAGTGTAGCAGAAACGACAGCACTCAACCTTGCCAAAAACATCGGGTTTTCGAGGGCCAAGGACGTTAACGCCTTTCTTAGCGCTCTGGAAAAGCTGGGAGATGTCCACAAGCAGAACACAACCCCCCCACGGTGGTCCCTGACAGACAGGAAACGCGAGCGGATGCAGATGCGGCTGAAGGCCAGCACCGTAACGCAGGCGACACATCCCCCACCCCAGTCAGGTTTTCCACCTTCCTCTGTCCCTCCGTGTCCCCAGGAGGTGACCGTAGCATCACCAGTGGTGGTAAAGTTGGAAGGGGAAAGTATAGAAAACGGGCAGCAGCTTTTGGGGCAAACTGATCCGAGCGATGCCGGTGACACGGAACCGGCCCCGCCTGAGGACATTAAGCCCGAATTCTCCAGTTTGAGTAATTATGATAACTCTGAAAACGGGAAGTGGGCCACGGATGATATCCCAGATAATCTGAACACTATCAACAGGCAGCCTGATGAGTCAGAGTCCATCATGAATTCCCAGTCTTCCCCCAGTTACGCTGCCCAGTTTGAAACGGCTTTCCCTTGTACGCCTGTAGAGAAGCTGATGGCTTGTCAGGAGAAGAACCCGGTGAGTGGCCTTACGGAGTATTCCCAGTACACGTACCAGCACTGTGAGTTTGCCATGCTGGAGCAGAGCGGACCCTCTCATGAGCCCCGGTAAGAAAATCTCCCTTTCCTGAGTGTTTTTGCTTAAAATGATCTGGCTTCAACTAACTTCACCCACTCAGCTTTGTCCTGAAGGGTTTGCTCGCTAATGTTTGCTTCATTTCAGAAGGATTAACTTGGTTGATTCCTTGCAGCAGCTTATAATAAAAAAAAACCCAACTAAACAACAAAACTGAACAAGGCTAAAATTTAACGTCAAGTAGCCCAGTTTTGGCAACCCCGCACCTCATTCTGAGCAGCAAAGGTGGGATTCATCTCTTCAGCCCGATCTGATTCAATCACTTGGCTTTCCATCTGGCTGTATATGGGGAAACTGGTATTTCTGAGCTACCTCTCCATGCTCTTGCCCTGGCAGGGTTATAAAGGGAGCACAGAACAAAGTGCTGGGGTGCAGATGGCTTGGGTTAGATGAGGTGAACCCACTCTGGAGGTTTCTGTGGTGCAGCACACATCCACACATCACATGTTTGGGTAGTGGGTCTCTGGAGTCCTGCTTCCCCATGCTGAATCGTGGCTCTTCCCCAGCACCAGTGTGATGGTGTAAAGCGCTGTAAGAGCCACACTGCAATATGTCAATAGATCCGCTAGACAGGAAAATTGGCCTAATTTCTAATGATGGAGTCACAGCCTTTTTTTTTTTTATTTTAGATATATAAATATATATATAAGGGGGGATCTGAATGGACTCAGCCCCATAACCCTGCTCCAGATCTGGTGTGACGCATCCTCCTTGGAAGCAGGTTTCCTCTGTGTAGGGCTGGAGGTCAGAAGAGACGAGGTTTTACAAGAGGGAGAGAGACAGAAACGGCAAAGGCAAGAGGTTTATGTGAGGCAGCACCTTTGGGATGGTGTGAGTGCACTGAGCAGCCAGGAAAAGTGCCAGAGGGACGAGTGACCCCGAATGACCAGGTGCAGATGGAGCAGCACAGGCTGCTTTTAAGCTTTCTTCATCCCTGTGCAGGAGACAGAACCAAACTGCTCTTTGCATTACGCAGCTCTGGCACTTGTGGAACAAGGCAGTTTGTGCTGTTCCTTCAGAGCAAAATCTGGAGCTGCCCCTCTGTTGTGAACAGCTCTGGAAACGCAAAGAAACGAGGCCCAGATGCAGAGCTGTCAGGGCACCCTTGGTATTTTTGTCTTCTGGGTTTGCTGCCTCAGCCAGGAGCTAGGTGTTTCTTCTCGCTTGAATTCCAGGAGCAGCCTTGCTCTGAGAAGGCCATGCTTTTGCCTCTCGATTTACCTCTTTGGTTTTCTCTTTCAAAGATTTAAGTTCCAGGCAGTGATTAGTGGGCGCCGGTTCCCACCAGCAGAAGCAGGGAGCAAAAAACTGGCTAAACAGGAGGCAGCGGCCAATGCTATGAAGGTCCTGATGAGTGAGGCAGAGAATGGAAGACCTGGTGGAATTAAAAGCGAGGAGACGTTTCCCTCCGAGAGCTCTGAACCGGAATTGGTGAGTCCCAGTTTTGTTACTGGTGAGGCTGCTCAGACGGTGTTTAGTCTGAGACTGGTTTCCTCCATCTTCTCGCTGCAGCCTTTGCATCCGGAGCCAGAGCCATCGTCTGCTCCAGCTCATCTCAACCTGCTTCCTGGGAAACACCCCATCAGCGTGTTAATGGAGTATGGACAGAAATCGGGGAACACCATTGAATTCCAGCTGCTGTCTCAGGAAGGCCCTCCTCACGATCCGAGGTATGGCACGTTGTTGTCAGCTCTGGGGAGGACAGAAACCCTTTCTTTAATCTCCTTCCTCTTCAGCACGGTGCCCGCATTCCTGGGGTTGTCACTGAGTGCTCCTCTTGTCCGAGGAGCCTGGGCATGGCTCCTCCGAGTCATCTGCCTCCAGAAGGAGACCAAACCCAGTGGTATTTCTCACAGAAAGGATGCTGTTTCTTCTACCAGTTCAGGAATGGGTTCCACTCCTGTACCCTACCTGGTAGTGCTCTACTGCAAGTATTTAAGGCCATCATGGTAGATTTAAATTGGAGATAACCCAGAAGAATTTACTTCCAACTGGGAGAAAGGGATAATAAATAGATGGAGACACCTGTGCTTAACACTTTTCATGTGCTATAATGTCCTGTCAGGTTCAGCTACTGTGTGAAAATGGGTGACCAAATTTTCCCTGCTGTGGTAGGAAACAGCAAGAAGGGAGCAAAGCAAATGGCAGCAGAAGTTGCTGTGAAGATTCTTTCTGGAGAGTCTGTACCCCGTGTCTTGCCCGAACAGGTACAAAGAGCTTTGTAAGACCCAAGTGTTTTGGGTTGGATTCCCCCCCCCCAACTGTTATTTCATTTTCTGCTGGATTTCACCCCACAGAGCCACATGCTGGCTCCAGCAGAGGTTTGCTGGGTGCTCTTGGCCTGTGGTGGTGCCAGCTGCTCAGTATTTAACTGTCTAACTCTGCTCCAGCCTGCCCTGAAGCCCCATGGTGACCAGTCCACGCACAGCTGTGGGCCCTGGGTCCCCGCTCCAGATGAACCCCAGGTGGCCAAACCAAAGGGTGTTGGGGAGCTCATCAAATACCTCAACGTCAACCCCGTCAGCGGCCTGCTGGAATACGCCCGCTCCAACGGCTTCGCTGCAGAGTTCAAGCTCATTGACCAGTCAGGGCCTCCCCATGACCCCAAGTAAGTAGCTGCATCTACTGGAGCACCATCCCTGGAGGGATTTAAAAGCTGGGCAGATGTGGTGAATGAGGGACATGGGTCAGTGGGGGTTTGGGCAGTGTCAAGTTGATGGTTGGACTCAGTGATCTTAAAGTTCCCTTCCAACCTCCATGATTCTATCACCTATCCAGGAGGAAATTTTGCAATGTTGCTTTTGTCCTGGAGGAAGGGCAGAGAATGCAAAATTCCTGTTGCACTTCGAGATGTCAACAAGCCGAGCTGCTGCCTCCACCAACCCTTGTGTCTGGGTGGCAGTAACCTACCTCCAGTCCTCTCCACTGAGAGAATGTAAAAACCTGCCTGAAATCCATAGGTTTCTTGGTTTCTCAGAGGCACACTCCTGTCTCTCTAGGTTTGTCTATCAGGCGAAGGTGGGAGGCCGTTGGTTCCCGGCTGTAACTGCACACAACAAAAAGCAGGGCAAGCAGGAGGCAGCTGATGCAGCGCTTCGAGTCCTGATCGGGGAAACGGAGAAGATCGAGCGCATGGAAGGGACGAACATCACCGAGGTAAATCCTCTTCCCCCACAGCTTTCGTAGCCCTGCCTGTCCTGCGCCTCTCACTCCAGCAGGAAAATGCTTTCCAGATCAACTGGGAGATCTTTGTTCTCTGGAGGTGTAAACAAGCTGATGTTTTCCTGAAGTGGGTTAGGTGTTTCCTCAGGGCGCAAACGTCCTCTTCCCTCCTGCCGGCGTCTGCTGTAGGGGTAAATCATCAGATTCTTCCACAAGCTACTGAAATGTGTTCCTGTGGTGGAGCAGGAACACGCTCATTTTTAATTCTGTGCCTTTTTCTTTTTTTCCCCCCCTGCTTCCAAATTCCTTCACGCTGCGTTAAAAATTGTGTGTCAGCTCAAAAAAACCCTCATGCATCAGATAAGAGCGAAGCTCTGGTTGTGTCAGGATGGCTGTCCCAAACCGGTGCTGCTTTAAAATCACACTTAGAGTTCTGTGATCCCTTAAAAGCTGTGTTCGGGGCGCACAGCTGAGCACAGCAGCTGTGGCTCTAAATAGAAAAGCCATCAGGGAAGGTTTGTCAGTCGGCAGCGCTAGAGGAGGCCAGTGCCCGTCTGCCACAGGAGGGACCCTGCAGTCTCCTCGCAGGCAGCCAGGGAAGGAATTCCTCCAGCGCCAGGAACAGATTTCCTTGGCTGAGTCCCTGGGAACAGGCAGGATGGGGTTTGTTCCTTTGCAAAGGGGTTTCCCCTGGCAGTCTCGGGAGGCTGTTCTCAGCCCATTTCTCTTGCTGCCAGGAGCTTGCTGCTGCCTCTTAACGATGTGCTTGAAGCAGAACTCAAAATGTTGGACAGGTTTTTCCCAGAAATACCTAAAAGAACTTCACCCACCCCTTGGCACTGTACTGTCCCTGCACTCAACCCCAAATCGCGCTGTCTGTAGCTCGTATTTTGTGTTCCTGCCTCCTGCTGGGACAACGGTGCTTCAGGTTGGCTACTTTTCGAGCCGCTTTGTGACCTGCCTGTGATCTCTTTGCAATCCTGGTCTCGTGTCCCCGCCGCAGCTCCCTGTGAGTGGCAGCACCCTGCACGATCAGATGGCCATGCTGAGCCACCAGCGCTTCAACACCCTCACCGCTCGCATCCAGCACAACCTGCTGGGGCGGAAGATCCTGGCCGCCATCATCATGCGGAGAGGAAACACGGGCCTGGGAGCGGTGGTCAGCATCGGAACGGGTACGAGCCGCTTCTCCCAGCGTGAGCCGAGCTCTCGCTTCCCTGCTAGATCCCCTGTCAGCTGCCAGGAGGGAATGGTTCTTGCCGTCGGCTTCTTCAGGGGACAGGACACGTTCCCAGGGCTCGCGTGGTGTCACAAGTGATCTGGTTAGAGAGGGAGAACAAAGCGAACGTGCCTGCAGCTATATTGCTCTTAATCTGTGCTTGCATTGCTGTGCGCTGGTCTGTGCATCAGAGCACGGACTCCTCGTGTCGTGCAGCACAAGATCCCCAGCTTCTCTCAGCTCCATGTCCCTGAGCTCCCTTCTGCCGCGCTCCCACCCAGAGCGCTGGGTTGGAAAGTGCTTGGGAAGGGACTCTGCCCCTAAACCTGTGGCAGTTTAATCTCTGCTGTCCCTAAAGTAGTGTGTGCTCTTTGTCCCTTTATTTTCCTAACTGCTTGGGTCAGGGTAATGATTTAATAGTCAGGGTGCTGCTGCTCAGGAGCCCAGAGAAGTAAGACTTGAAGCAAGGTGAGACTCTCTCTCTTTCTGTGAAGCCGAGTGTTGGCTTTGACACTTGCCTTTTTTATTTATTTCAGGTAATCGTTGTGTGAAAGGAGAAGAGCTGAGCTTGAAAGGGGAGACGGTGAACGACTGTCACGCAGAAATCATTTCTCGAAGAGGCTTTGTGAGGTGAGAGAAGGGGAAACCTGAAGGAGAGGGGTCAGCCAAGAGGTGCTGGCCCCTTCTAGAGGGATGGAGCTGTCCTGCTGCGTCGAGAGAGGCTGTGATCCTCTTAACGCCACTGTTTACCCATGTGTTGTTAAATAGAGGGAAGTTATTTCTGATAAGAAAGGGCCATGCCTGAATGGTGCCCAAATTAGTACCGAACTGGAAACTTGCCAAGAGCCCAAGGGCTGCATCTGATGTACTTAAAATAAAGCATCCTGCAGAGGCTGCTTGGGCAGCACGCAACGCGCCGGCTCGGAGCGCAGCGCTGAGGTGCTGGGGAATCTGCAGCCCCGGTCCCCCTGTGGCCTCTCTGTGCCCAGACACAGAGAGCTTCAGGAAAACTTACTGAACGTGTTTGCATTGATAAGTCAGAAATCCTCTTTTCATCGGTTGGAAAGGGTTATCCCAACTAAACCCCACAGTTGTTCTCTTTATAAACATTCCATGTAGCACTCCATGAAGTTGGAGGAGCCTTGTTAATGTCGGCCCTTCCATCACGAACAGCAAAGCCAGCTTTTGCTTGCTCCCGCTGTAGTCTGTGTGTTTCTCAGCACTTGGAAGGTGTTGAGGGCAGATCCCTGGCAAGCTCTAAAGTCAGGGGGTTACACTCTTGCTGTTATTCTGTTCATCTGGACAGCGGTGGCTGCTCCAGCACGGCAGAGCCCATCAGAGATGGGAACAGTGAGCTCTCCTCGCCTTGCAAAATAAATCCCTGCCCAGGCTCTGCTTGAGGAGTCTCTTGTGAAGCTGCAGTTTTTCTTTAGTCCTTGACTCTCTGCTGGAGACCTCAAGGCTTTTTCCCGGTCCCCGGGCAGAAGCAGCCATAAAAGACCCAGTCATTGTAAACAGATCGTGGGGTTGTGCTAATAATACTGCTGCCTTCAGCTGCCCGTGGGGCTGCTTACTGTTAGTGCAGACTTGGTGCTGACTAAAGGTGCTGGGTTAACAACCTTGAAGTCTTCTTCCCACCCGCATCAGCTGCATGCAGGCAGCAGCCAGGCAGGCTCCTTTCTCCCTCCTGCCCCTGCTCCCCTCTGCTCACCTCACAGAACGCCGATTTTCTATCGCCTGTCCTCTGCGTGGAGGGAAATCTGCTTTATTTCATGTCTTTTCTGTAGCATCAAACACTATTTGTTGGCTTCCAGGTATTCCGTGGCTCCTGGTCTTCACTTTGCCATGTGGCAGGACCAGGAGACTTGCTGTGATGGAGGCAGAGCTTTGGACCTGCCTGGCACGGGCAGCGGTTGGACTGAAACGCTCCTTCCCTGAGGAGCAAAACAGCCTTTTGACCCAATGTTGTTATTTTCAGGTTTCTCTATAGTGAGCTGATGAAGTATGACCCGTCTAATCCATCCTCTAGAGAAGAGAGCATTTTTGAGCCAGCAGGAGGGAAGAGGCTCAGAATCAAGAGCGGTGTTACCTTCCACCTTTACGTCAGGTTTGTGCAGAGAGGGACCGGCGTCGGCAGCGCTGTCGCACCCCCGGCCCTAGCTGTTTTCTGAGAGTTTCTGAGGTTCTGAGCTAACCTGGGGAGCGTTTGTTTTCTAGCACAGCACCTTGTGGGGATGGGGCACTCTTTGATAAATCCTGCAGTGACCAGGCGAGCGTGGTGGGACAAGCCCAGCACCAGCCACTCTTTGAGAACCCCAAACAAGGCAAGCTGCGCACCAAGGTGGAGAACGGTGAGTGTGTGCTCCCTGCGTGGTGTGGTGGCTCCTGTCCTCGCCTCTGAGCCTTTCTGGAGCTCCAGAGTTTCTTTACCCCCTCTCTGTGGGGTGCTGTTGTGGGATTTGAAGCATTTGGGAACCAAAGGGGGTGGGTAGAAGGGATGGGGACATTAGAAGAGGGGGTCCCTTCCCCAGTCTGCCTGATGCGCTGCCAAGGTTGCAAGAGCACAGCTGAACTTTGCTGCAAAGGTTATGTGTCTCTGATGTCCCTCTCAAGCACCACTACATTCTGCTTCAGCTATCTGAAAAATGACTTGTCTGTCGTCAGTACTGAGCTCCATTTTTCCTGGGGAACTAAAATGTTCCCCAGACCTGGAGACAGACTGGCACCGGAGCTCACTGTGCATAGAAGAGAGTTTCTTGTGCAGTTGCTTGATGGGGTTTTGGGTTTATTGAATGTCTGACTCCTTTACAGAAAAGCTTTTCTTCTTCCCTTGTGCAGGGGAAGGTACGATTCCTGTGGAGTCGAGTGACATCGTACCCACGTGGGACGGGATCCAGCACGGAGAGCGGCTGCGAACCATGTCCTGCAGCGACAAAATCTTACGATGGAATATACTGGGCTTGCAGGGGGCATTGCTGTCCCACTTCATCGAGCCAGTTTATCTCAGCTCTGTTACACTCGGTACGAGACCCGTTGTTCTTTCTGGGTTGGGATGAGGGTGGCAGAGCCCTGGAACAGGCTGCCCAAGGAGGTGGTGAAGTCTTCTTCTCTGGAGGTGTTCAAAACCTGCCTGGACAAGTTCCTGTGCAGCCTGCTCTGGGTGACCCTGCTCTGGCAGGGGGTTGGAGTAGATGATTTCCAGAGGTCCCTTCCAACCCCGTGTGATTCTGTGGGATGGACGTGCTGCCCCGCTCCCTACAGCTGGGCGACCAGGAACCCCCCCTTCTCCAAGCGATGGCAAAGCTGGTGTGTGGAGGCTGCAGGAGTAACAGACTGAGCCGTAGCTCTTGGCAGAGCTGGGCTTTTTGGGAGTGAAAAGGGAGTTTGTGGATTTTATGCGGTGGGTGGAGTGGGTTTTTCTCCAAGGTTTTTGATTTTTAGAAGGCACACGTGGTCTAGGGGGTGAGACAAAAGCTGCCTGTTTGTGTCGCTGGGTAGAAGCGTTGCGCTCTATAAACCCTCATCTTACACATTCAGGGCACGCGTAGCTGTTACTGATCCACGTGGCCCTGAGCTTTATGGAGCTTGTGGGGAAGCGCTGTGGTTCCTGGGGTTTGGCCGGTCCATCGTCTGGTTCCTCACACCTTCACCTCTGTCTTCCCAGGCTACTTGTACAGTCAGGGGCATTTAACGCGTGCGATCTGCTGCCGCCTGGCCAGAGAGGGGAACCCACTGCAGGGAAAGCTCCGGGCTCCGTATCACATCAACCATCCCGAGGTACCGGGGCTTTGGCACCCCCTTGTCTTTCTGCCCCATCCCCCTCCTTCCACATCCACCCTTGGGTTTTGGGTCTCGCTCTGCTGGGGGAGGTCACCTACAGCCCAGGTCAGGAGACTGCGCCCTTGGTGTCATCCCACAGCGTCTGGGGGTTCCTGGCAATGACTTGAGCTGGCAAAAAGGAGGCCAAGGTCACCCCTGTAGCCTTCAGCTTAGTAAGAACCTCGTGCTTGGTGCTCTCAGGGGTTTGGGACAAGCTGAACCCCTGCCTCGGGGAGGCAGAGGAGGCAAAAAGCTCCCCTTAGCAGTGAGATCACGCAGCAGGACCCACGTTAAACCCTCCTTCCTCTCCTGCAGGTCGGGCGGGTCAGCGTGTACGACTCTGCCCGGCAGACGGGCAAGACGAAAGAGTCTTCAGTGAATTGGTGTCTTGCTGATGAAAGCGAAGTCGAAGTCTTGGATGGCACAAAAGGGAAAGTAGATGGGTAAGAAGAGCCTCTCCTGACGCTGCTTTTCTCTCTGGGGAGAGGGGGGGCAGCCCTGAAGTCGTGAGTACACTCTGCACCTTCTGCCTGGGGAGGGTTGGAGAGAGGGATTTCGAACTGACGTCAGCGACTGCTCTGGAGGCAAAACAACAAAATATTGCCCGGACCCCACAGCAGAGCTCAGCTGGGCCAGGAGATCTCTCAGACATCCCACTGTGGCTTTTTTTCCCCTGCCCCCTGCACCTCTTGGCTCTTCTGGGTGTCGTGTCCTTCATTGCTGCCTTCGTCTCCCTTCTCAGGCCGAAGCTGGAGGTGTCCCGTGTGTCCAAGAGGAGAATGTTCACCCTCTTCCAGCAGTTGTGCGCCAAGAACGACCGCAGAGACCTGCAGGACCTCTTGGTGTACTCGGAGGCGAAGGAGGCGGCCACAGCCTACCAAGAGGCCAAGCAGTGCTTCTTCAGCGCGCTGGAAGAGATGGGCTACGGCAGCTGGATCCGCAAACCCCAGGAGGAAGATAATTTCTCCTTTTCTGATGCATAATGAGACGCCCTGCGTCGGGGGGCAGGGTGTGAGTGTGACCCGGCGTGGGCGTACGCGTCCTTCTCTCAGCACCTTCTTTTTTGAGGTGGAATCAGGAACGTGCAGCAGTTTCCCCCGTAGGCGCAGCTGCCTCCTCTCTGCTGTTGTTACTCGGAGACCCTGCCCTTTCTCCCTATTTAAAACACGCATGAAAATTAGTGTCTTTTTTTTAAGCTAGGGCAGGTTTGCTTTTATGTTTTCCTCTCTTCTTTCTTTTTGTTTTTTTTAAAAAGAAGGCACAAGAAACCAGAGCGATTCTCCGACTACGAGCTCGAAACCTTTGGACCATGCACGGCAGTTCCCTCCGGCAGGTTTTGAGGCAAATTTTCTCTTTTGAGAGAAGAAAAAAAGCTGAGTGTCTGGTTCTGTGTGTCTCTGTCAGAGGGTGGCTGGGAGCCCATCTGAGCTGGGACATGGGACTGATCTTGGCAGGGCCAGCGTAACATTCCACATTAATAATAAAAAAAAAGAAAATTTCTCTTATCATGGCTGTCTCTGTGCCTCGGGAGGGTGGGGGTTAATTCCTGCAGAGTGAAAGGGGTGCCCTGAGCAGAGCTGGGTGGGGTTGGGAGAGGAGCAGAGGTGAGTTCTCATTTGCTAAATGAGGAGTGATCCCTGGTAGAACTTAAACCCCTTGCCTTAAGTTGGGCAGGATTGGGTCCTTGGGGGTTGGAAAGTAACCTGAAATGATGGGGCACTGTCCCCCGTCTCTGGGGTGGGGGGTCTCCTCTCCAGTCCTGGGAGGTCACTTGAGAGGCTGGTGGTGGCTGAGACCGTGGTGTGGGTCTGCTTGTCTGAGCTCAACTACGCACCAGATGCACTTGTAGGAGGTGAGAGTCACAGAACCATGGACTGGTTTGGGTTGGAAGGGACCTTGAAACCCCCCCCCCCCCCCCCCCCCCCCCGGCGGGGGGCGGGCACACCTCCCACCAGACCAGGTTGCTCAAAGCCCCATCCAACCTGGCCTTGAACACCTCCAGGGA